GCTGTCGCTGTGTCACTGTGCTGAATCGAATTATCCTTGTGACCCACAGGAATTGACAGAGGATCCACGGAACAGCCCCAGGGCAGGGGGCCAGAGGGGCTGGCCTGCTGCTAGAGAGGAGGGGAGAGGAGGAAAGAGGTGGAGGGAGGCAGGGAGCAGACAGGAAGGAAGAGGCTGTGAGAGACAGGAGAGCATGAGGAGCAGAGGGAGTGAGCTGGAGGACCAGAGGTTTCAAGAGAGAGAGGGAGGGAGAAAGGCTGGAGGAGGAAAGGAGACCCCGTGAGCTCTAACCCTGCAGATGCTAACAACAGGACGTGGAGATACGTGGAGAGCACCCTCGTCCCTTCCTGTCCTGGAGCGGAGGTGAAGACTGGGCGGACACCGCTGGAAAACTGTTAATGCAGATTCAGGGGTAGCAAGTCTCTAATCCTGCCACCTCTTCTCAGTCACCAGCAGCGCATCCGACTGGACTCTAGGCCCTGAGAGTTTGGCACTGGATTCTGCACAGTTGCTCCGGCTTTGTCATCTCCAGAAGCTCAGCTCTGTGTGTGCTTCTGTCCCTCAGGACACAAACGTCTGAATATCGAGACTAACACTTGGTGATGTGTATCTGAAAGCTTGATCATGATGAATCAGTAATTGCAGTATCTCTGAGATCACACACTGGGCAGAGAGTGGGTTAGGGTGACCCCTGTGAGTTGTGCTGCTCCCTGCAGACAGTCCTCTCTTCCTCAGCACTCTCAGCGTGTACTGACACCAGTACACAGGGCCTGGCTGCAGTCCCCGTACAGGGCAGGGGAGCCACTCCAGGGGTTAGCCAACTCAGCACAAGGGAGGACGAATGAAATATCCAGCAGCTGCTTGGCTGGTATATGGAGTTCCGCAGCTACAAGTGGGCATCAGTTCCAGACAAACTGATGATCAAACAAACATGGCTGCAGTTTCTGTTCCCTGAACCGGCTGTGGGATACCAGCCCAGCACACCCATCAAGTCCAGCAGGTCCAGCAGACCCAGCAGTCCAAACAGGTCCAGCAGACCCAGTAGTCCCAACAGTCCCAGCAGACCCAGCTGGCCCAACAGGTTCAGCAGACCCAGCAGACCCAACAGGTTCAGCAGACCCAGCAAACCCAACAGTCCCAGCAGTCCCAACAGTCCCAGCAGACCCAACAGTTTCAGCAGACCCAACAGACCCAACAGTCCCAGCAGACCCAACAGGTTCAGCAGACCCAACAGACCCAACAGTCCAAGCAGACCCAACAGACCCAACAGACCCAACAGTCCCAGCAGACCCAACAGGTTCAGCAAGTTCAGCAGTCCAAGCAGACCCAGCAGACCCAACAAGTTCAGCAGACCCAGCAGACCCAGCGGTCCCAGCGGTCCCAGCGGTCCCAGCAGACCCAGCAGACCCAACATTCCCAACAGTCCCAACAGTCCCAACTCAGCACAAGGCAGGACGAGTGAAATATCCAGCAGCT